TTTCATGGACCGTTTCTGGCTGCATCCAGCCCTTGCCAGTCTGGCACCCAGAGCAATGAAGGATGGGCTCTTGGGTGCTGTTTTTCTGAGTTAGTGTCCCTTCAGGGAAGGAAGAGGCTCCCTAGGTGGCAGATTAGCTCCTAATTCCTCAAACAGGTTGTGGGTCATCTCCTGAAAGGATTTCTCAGGATGGTTTCATGTGATCTTAGCCTGCTGCCCTCCTGTCATCCTGTGCTTTCACCATACTTTTGAAGAAATTGACCATTTTGCCTTTCTAACTCCAGAACAAGAGCAGCCAAGCGAGTACCACTGAAGGGGGCACATTCTGCATTCCTGACCATCACCTTTGCCAGGCACCCCTGAATCCTTTCATAGCCTAATGGAGAGTTAACACCCAATTAAAGATGACTGGTTAAAGAAAAAAATCTCTCTTAGCAACTTTCAAATCAAGTAATATGAATAATAATCACCATTCTGTATATTACATCCCCATGAGTTATTTACTTTATAATTGGAAATTTGTGGCTTTTGGCCTCTTCACACGTTTCAGCCACTGCCTCTGGCAGTCATTAGTTTCTTCTAATGTTTCTTCTGTAGCTGTGATTTCTGTTCCATCTTTTTGTCTTTGATTTTTTTTTCCAGAGTCCACATATAAATGAGGTCATACAGTATTGGTATATGTCTTTCTCTGTCTGACTTCACTTAGTATAATGCCCTCATCCATCCATGTTGTCACAAATGGCAGAATTTCCTTCTTTTTACTATTGGATAATATTCAATTATATACATGCCACATTAAAAAAAAAAAATCTCTTGATGATGTCTTGTTTCCATGTCTCTAAAAAATGCTGCATTGAACACTGGAGTGTAGATGTATTTTCAAAATAGTGATTTTGGTTCCTTTGGGTAAATACCAAGAAGTGGAACTGTTGGGTTAGATGGTAGTTTCTAGTTTTAATGTTTTGAGAACTCTCCATACTGTTTTTCATAATATCTGAACTAGTTGACATTTTCCCCAGCAGTGTAGTGCTTCGCTGGCAGCTCACAGATGGTAAACGATCTGCCTGCAGTGCGGGAGACCCGGGTTCGATCCCTGGGTTGGCAAGATCCCCTGGAGAAGGGGATGGCTACCCAGTCCAGTGTTCTTACCTGGACAATTTCACGGACAAAGGAGCCTAGCAGGCTACAGTCCGTGGGGTTGCAAAGAGTCGGACGCTACTGAGCAACTAACACACACATACAGCAGCAGTACATAGGGCTCCCTTTTCTCCACGTTCTTGCCAACATTTGTTATTTCTTGGGGTTTTTTTTTTTTGGTAGTAACCATTCTTACAGGTATGAGGTGATATTTTATTGTAATTTTAATTTGTATCTCCCTGATGGTTAGTGATGTCGAGCATCTTTTCCTGTACTTGTTGGCCATTTGTTTGTCTTCTTTGGAAAAATGTCTATTCAGAGCCTCTCCTCATTTTTAAATTGGGTTGTTTGCTTTTCTGTTAAGTTGTCTAAGGGTTTTTAAAAAAATATATTGTAGATTATAAATCAACTATATTCTAATAGAAAATAAAAGTTTTTAAAATACACTGTGGAAATTGTTTTATTATGATACTTAGTGCCAAAGGCAGAAGATATTATATACTGAGTAGTAGTGCATTAAAATGTACATCAAAAAAAAAAAACACAAAATGTACATCCAAGAATCCTTGTAACAAACATTTTGAAATGTTCATACTGGTTTTAATATAAGAACTGTATTATGCAGGATTTGATTCTCCTTTATGTTGTTTCCCCAAAATATCTTAGATAATTCTACTAAAATTTTAGTAATAAAATCACAAGAGAGCAAATACTTCATGTGCTTTCTCCCTTCTCTTGTAGTGTAAGGCCTAAAACGTTCATGTGGTATCTTAACATCGTTGAACCTCACAGGGCTCAACAGTCTAACCATGAGTTCCCCTCTTCTCACCAGATATGCCTCCCACCCAGTGGGAAAGGCTTTCAGCTGGTTAGTTCTCGTATCTGCCAAACCATCTGTACCCTTCCTGGCCTTCAACCTGTTGGGGTGTATCTCCCTGTCAGTCACAAAGTTAATCAAAGAAGCCAATCACATCCTTCCACAGCAAGCAGGGAGCAAGCACCTCATCTGCTAACATCTTGTTAGCAGAACTGTCTTCCACCACTCCTGTTGTTTTACTCTTCTGCCGAGTGACACTACCCTGTGACCTGTTGTGTCCATCTCCCCTAGGACTTGAGGATACTCGACTCATAGACTACCGTCAGTCTCACCTGTCTGGTATCTAGGTGTGTATTCAGATATCTCCAGAACTCTGAGGCAGGACTCCTCCATTGCTGCTAGCTGAGAAAAAAGCTGCCTACTCATTTTTACTGCTATTCCATGAGTTGTCAGCATCTACACTGAGAAAAAAATTTTTTTTAAATTTGGCTGCCTTGGGCCTTAGTTGTGGCACATGGGATCTTCATTGCATCATGTGGGACCCTTCATTGTCGTGTGGGCTCCCTAGTTGTGGCACATGGGCCTTCAGGTGTGGCACATGCAGGTTCAGTAGTTGAGGCTCTGCAGGCTTAGTTGCTCTGACACATGGGACCCTAGTTCCCCGACCAGGGATTGAATCTATGTCCCCTGCCTTGCAAGGTACATTCTTAACCACTGGACCACCAGAAAAGTCTCAAAAGATTTTTCTGAAGCTCAGTTAACCTTCAAATAGGAATGCTAGATCATGTTGTCAACTTACATGTCTGTGACTGAAATTTTATTTTGCTGAGTCTACAAACTAATATTATACTTTTGCCCTATTTGTAAGACAGATAAGGCTAAAATTAATGTAGGTATCATAGGTAAGGAGCCCTCCTTAAGCTTGGAATCAAATAGAAAAGGATGTTTCTGGATTACTTCTTCAGGTTGGGTGCAAGTTGAGCATTAGAATAAAAGAACTGCAAGTTAAAGGGGGTGAGGTGAGAAAAAAAGGACAGTTAAAATGGGAAAATGGTAGCAGAAACACATTCTTGTACTGCTCTGAGAATGTAAAATGGTATAATCACAATGAGAAGTTTGTCAGTAACACAAGTTAACCTGCAAAAAGCAAGTCTACTTTTGAAGTTAACTCACATATAAGCCTTATATATATGTGCAAAACTGAAGTTTATGGAGGGATATTAATTGAGCATTACAAGAAAGCATAGAAAAATTTATAATATTTATTTGTAGAGTTTCATTTCTTAGAAAAGGGTTCAGTTACACATACTGTGGCATACTTTGCAGTTGTTGAAAACGAAAACACTTCTTGTGTACTGATATGGAAACACATTTGTGTGAAGAAAAATATATACTTTCATATGCATATAGCACACATAGTATTTGAAATTACATATACATTTTGTATTCATGTGTGTGTATGTGTAAATATCTGTATATTTTATTTTATTTTATTTATTTATTTTTGTATATTTTATTTTAAAATAACGTCTGAAACAACAAGGTCCTACTGTATAGCACAGGGAACTACATTCAATATCCTGTTATAAACCATAATGGAAAAGAATATGAAAAATTATATCTATGTATAACTGAGTCACTTTGCTGTACAGCAGAAAATAATATTATAAATCAACTATATTTCAATAAAATTTTAAAAGATGTCAAGATAAATTATTTTTATGAGAAGAGGAAAAAATCTGTAAGGTTAAACACTAAAACCAAAATGCTGTGCATGCTAATATTAGCCACTGTATGTCTGAAATATATTGCAAAAGTGGTTGATCACATTTTAGTTAAACTTTATATCCTTTTAAATGTTAATCTATTCATGGTTTGCATATTTAAAATATGTTGTAATGATGATAACTGACATATAGGTATCCTTTGATGAGAACTTTACATTTCCCACTTGCCGGTCTTACTCATTTATCTAAATTTATATGAATGCAACTTTGATTCTTCTGATAACCCAGAAGAATTTTCCTCTTAGATTCTGAGCCTGATTTATCTTCACTGTCCAAACAACAAAGAAGCAAAATATTTTTCAATGAGATGTCATGACCAGGCATTAGGAATTAAAAGATGTTTCTCAACTTGTGGGCTCTTAAAATGCAGTCAAACCCATCAGTTCATAATAGAGTAGAGAGGGATGAAAACAACCCCTTAACAACAATTTCAGGTGGACATAGTATTGTAAAATGTAAATAAGGTATTGCTTTTCTTTTCTAGTTTTCAGAGAACTCCTGCAATCAGTAGTCTAGAAAAAGGGACCAAAATTCATTCTGCCTTTTTCTACAGTGTGAAAATGTTATATATATTAATAGCAAAGTCTCACTTTATCTGGGCTTCCCAGGTGACTCTGGTAAAGAATCTGCCTGCCAATGCAGTAGATTCAAGAATTCTATCCCTGGGTCAGGAAGATTCCCTGGAGGAGGAAATGGCAACCCACTCCATTATTCTTTCCTGGAGAATTCCACGGACAGAGGAGCCTGGCAGGCTACAAGTCCATGGAGTCGCAAAGAGTTGACTGAGCAAACACACACACACACACACACACACACACACACACACTTTATCCAGCTTTTCTCACCTGGAAACACGGCTTTGCTAATCAACAATATAGTGTTATATACCCTTTGTAACCTCGGAGACTTCAGCTGTAAAAATGACAGGAATTAGTATCTGTGGCATTTTGAGTGGAAAGAGCCTTGTAGGGAAGGGAGAGTTTGTTTGGATTATGAACCCACCTTCCAGATCTTCCACTCCTGGCCCTCAGGGTCATATTACTGACTTAATTGTGCAGACCTCTCACAGGCAGGCTTGAAGCCTGGCCAAAGAAGAGCCCCTCAGTCCACTGCTCCCAGTTCTCTGATCTGGTCCCATTCGGACACGCCTCCTCCCGACCCCGGACCCGCTGGACACGCCCCCTACCTCACGTCCCGCCTTCTGTCTTTGAGAAGTATGCGCTGCGCAGGCGCAGTCCGGCGGTCACGCCCAGAAGTCTCCGGCCCCACCCGGCGGCTACTTCTAAGTTTTACGACGTGGAGCCTCACGTCGCACAGACGACCAGGTGACTTTGGCCCCTGGTTCTTTTCCCGTATCCCTTATTGCAAACTGCGCGTGAGTGGCACCGTCTGAGGAGGAATCCAGCGTGGGACGCCGCGGAGACGACTGTGCAGACTTAGCCAGAGCCCGCGAGGGACGGTGAGTGGCGGTGGGAGTGGGGTTGCGGGAGGCGCTCAAAGCGTGGACCGCCCGAGCGCCGCCGCGCAAGTCCGCCCGTCCCCTCGGGGCTGTGGGCGCTTGAGCAGCGGGGTTGAGGGGGCGCTGGGTTTTATCTCTCTTTTAGGGTGAGTGCGATTGTGAGACTGAGAGGTGCGCGTTCGTTTTGTGTGACGGAGACACCGAGTGAGTGTCCTTTCTGTGAACGTGGATTACACAGAGCTCTTTGTCCCCGCCGCTGCTTCCAGGCTTCTCTCAAACATGTATGTCTCTCAAAGAATGTGGGCGCTGTTGAGAAATCTGTTTTTGAGTCCTGCAAGACACCTTCCAGCAAGAAAGTACATACCGGCTGCTGAGACCGGAATTTTAAAATCAAGAATTGTCCCTGAGGCCAGGGTTCTGAGAGAGGCCACTTTGTAGGAAGGGGCCTGAGGGTCGGTCCTGGTCGCTGCCCGCCCTAAATTGTAAATTCCCGCATTTCTCCTGCCGTCCAGAACCTCCAGCACACTGTGTGGCTGCCAAAAGTTGTATTAATAATTAAATAATGTCCAGCTGTCAAAAAGCTGTTATTAAAAAAAAGAATTGCCCCTGAGACAGGTTCCTACCCCGATCCTTCCTCGGATTACCCTTCCTGGAAGTTCTCTGGGGCTCATTTCTACATTTGAGTATGAAAGCATTTCTTGAGCTCAGACGGCAGAAACCTGCTGTGAGCCTTGATACAGATTCCACAGTCCTACTTAATTCTGGTTTTATGTATGAGATCACGGCGGATTTAGTAGCTTTGAAGGATGGAACACAATAAATGCTTAACATTGTCTTTATTGTGGTGTCATTCACCCTTCAGATTTCTATAAATCAATGACGAAAATATGAAGTTAATGTGACGAGTGCTTCTATATCAAAGGGCTGCTGCTGTTACTGCTGCTAAGTCACTTCAGTCGTGTCCGACTCTATGTGACCCCATGGACAGCAGCCCACCAGGCTCCGCCGTCCCTGGGATTCTCCAGGCAAGAACAATGGAGTGGGTTGCCATTTCCTTCTCCAATAAGTGAAAAGTGAAAGTGGAGTCACTCAGTCATGTCCGACTCTTCGCGACCCCATGGACTGCAGCCCACCAGGCTCCTCCGTCCATGGGATTTTCCAGACAAGAGTACTGGAGTGGGGTGCCATTGCCTTCTCCTATATCAAAGGGCTAGGTGGAGCTAATTTTCCAGTGTTCTGATCCAGGGGTCCTTTGTGTTTGGGGGTTTACAAGGGACCACAAACTCTTTGTAATTGTCTAGAATTACCGCATATATTTGTAAAAATGCATTTTTCAAAGGTGTGCATAACCTTAACAGATTAGACTTGGGTAACTGATCTGCAATGAAAGATTTTTATACTTTTGGATGATTTTTCACAAAATTAATGATTATACAAATGGAATGGTTAAGAAAATCACAGGACATCCATGAGTTAAAATATTATATAGATAATAAAATTTCTGTTCATAAGAATTAGTCATTGCAAGAAAAAAATGGCTATGATCTAATGTTGAGAAATCTTAATATACTGTAGTTATAAAACAGTAGTCAAGAAAATTTGAAAGCAGCAGCTCATTTTATTTTTTTTTTTAGCAGCTCATTTTAAAAAGAGAATTTTGTAAAAACTTTTGCAAGGATTGTAGACAAAATGATAATTGGTTTTTCAGAGAAGAATAAAAGTGTTCAGCTACATTTACTGAGCATTTTCTATGTACCCAGAACTTTTCTATCTACTTGGTATACATGTTCACATTAATTTGTGAAGGCAGTTTCCCTTTGCGTTGATGTTAGAGTGTTTATGGTGAGATGTCTCTAATTATCATCAGTGCAGTACAGCTAAAGGGTATTCAGGAAGTGAATATACTTAAGTGGTATTTTAATCATGTTGAGTTTTTCATCATAGGTCTGATATTAACAAATCTTTTTAATGAGGAAAATATAGCGTCTTTCCAAAGTCATGTCTACAAATATTTTAATACTTTGAAATATCTTTATATTTTATTTATGATAATGGAATTAATCCAGGTTTACTGCCAAAAAATAAGCCTGTATTCACTTCCTTAAGGAATTTATTGAGAAGAAAGCAAGGATAATCCATAATCTCCCTAGAGATAATCACTTTAACATTTTGGTGTGTGTGTATATATATATATATATTTTTTGTTGTTGTTCTATTTTTGTGTGGATTTGTTTTGGCAGAATAAAATTGATCAAGTAAAGGAGACAAAAGAGTCCAACTCATAGTTCAAAAAATCTAATCTAATCCAATAATAGATTTCTTTATACCCTGTATATGTAAGGAGAAGAGGGAAGGGCAGAGAATCTTGTGTGAAAAGGATTACAAACAGTTATGCCTTTTATTTATTACAAATGTTATTTGTAATAAAGTTATAAAAGTAATAAAATAAAGTAATAAAAGTTTTTCAATTAACAGGGCACCATATTACTAAGGGAGACATCTTTTCAGAGTTAATAACTTAGAAGTTTGAGCTTACTTTCTGAAAAAATAACATTAATCTCTAATTTCCAGGTGTCTTGCAAGTACAAGCAATATTTAAAAACATAGTTGTTATGCTAGAAAATAAAGATAATATTTATAAATATTTATGTAAATATGTGAAGAATAAAATTGATTCTCCAGTTGTATTCTCAATTTTATCATACTATTCTTTGAACTGGTTTATGATTCTGAAAAGTTTTTCTTACTCTCTATGGCTGCTGCAGACTGAGGAAACGCATAGTTTCTCTTTTCTTGTCTAATAATTTCTCTTTTTTAAAATAATGATTTTATAAAGCAGAAATCTATTTTCTCAAATGTAGCTCCTAAAATTTTATTAAATATTAGAATTATAAGAAAGAGGAAGCTCAAGAAGCACAAGTTTTAATATAATAAAACCAGGAAGCATCAGAATTAACTTTTTTTATAATGAAAGATTAAGGAATATGGAATGATTTTCTTCTTCAGTAATGATAGAAAATTTATATTAGTCATCATGATGTACAGTTTAGTATGTATATGGATTATTTTGCCTAGTCTTCAAAATAGTTATATATGATTTTTTTTATCCTTACTTTGCTAATGAGGAAATTGGCATTGAAATGTTTTTCTTAATTTCAGTGGGATGCCACCTCCTAAATTATGCATGCCTTCTTCACTGAGCAATTCTTTAAATATTGTTTTCCATTAGTTATATGGTTTAATATCATCCTTATTAAGAATTGCATGGCATATATGTCACAATATAGCAGACTATAATATATTTAACCTGTTTGCTTGCAGTGAGATTTTCATGTTTTTAATTGTGGACCATCAAAAATTATTCTCTGATGAACATCCTTGTGTATTAACTTTGTAAATTTATATAGTTATTTCCTTTAAAATTTTTTGAAAAGTGGTATTTTGTAGTAAAAAAAATCATACTTCTTTTAATTGTTTAAAATATGCCAGACCTGGAAAGTATAATTATTTGAGGCAATGTAATTACTAAAGACATAATTGCTTCCTTCAGAGCACTTATAATCTGTGAAGGAATTTAAAACCTGAATAGGAATAGGGCTTCCCTGGTGATTCAGTGGTTAAGAATCCACCTGGCAATGCAGAAGACATAGGTTCAATCCCTGGTCCAGGAAGACTCCCACATGCCTTGGAGCAACTAAGCCGGTGTGCCACAGCTACTGAGCCTGTGCTCCAGGGCCTTGCAAGCCACAGCTACTGAAGCCCATGCCCCCTGAAGCCCATGCTCCACAGCAAGAGAAGCCATTGCAATGAGAAGCCTGCACACCGCAACTAGAGAACAGCCCTGCAACTAGAGAAAAGCCAGGGCCACAGCAAAGACTCAGCACAGCCAAAAACAAATAAATAATGTTTAAAAATTAAAAAACAATCTGAATAGGGATAATTATAAAGTAGTATGTGATAAAGGCCACTGGTGAGAGTTAAGTGACCTGCCTAAAGGAGACATGTGGGTGACTGTAGTGACAGTAAGAATATAAACAAGTAACACTGAGCACATGGGATCTGTATGGCAATATAAGTGGCTATTTTTACTATAACCTTTATATCTTGTAGACATCATTCTAGTATGAGATGTATAGCAAAATTATAGGTAAAAATAATTCAGTAGCTTTCTGGAGGGTATCATGACAAAACTGACTGGTTCAGAAACAAAAATTCTTCTGTCAAAAAGATCTGAAGTAAAGATGCATTGAGACTGTCATCACTTCACAAAAGAGATTACTCAGGGACTGTTCCCAAGTTTTTTGTAGCCAAAATTTCAATATAACTGAGAAAAAAGTATAAAATGAGATATTAGGATCCAAAGGAAACAAAAGCCATTTAGTAAAATAATGTGAATTTAAAGAAGAAAGAACTTTTGGGAAGTCTTCACCTTAAGTTAAAAAAATCTTTCAAATTCCTATGTAAATTGTTAAAATGATTATGAGGTAACCTTTTAAAAGAAACAAGATCTAAGCAAAAAGATAGGGATTGCTCATGTCAAATTCTGATCATGGCAAAGGTGTATTTTATGTCTTCAGTAGTCTTATTTGATTGTTTCATGTATGGACTAAAAACAATTGAATACACAGTGATTCATTTCTAAAGACATCCCCACAAAAACAAACAATGCAAAACATAACCAAAAATATAAGAGCTCTTAGTATGTAGACATACAAATTTCTAGACATTTCTATCTTCTGTTTTATGATTGTCATTCTTTCCTCTGTATTGATTAATATGCTGCTATGTTTTATAAATAGAAATATATTAAACTTGACTTTTCTATGGGTGTAAATGAAACATTTTCCACTTCGTTAAATATTCTTCCCAATTTAACATTTAATGACTACTTTGTATTCTAGTATATTGTTGGTCTGTCATATATTTAACTAATAAGCTTTGCTGGACTTAGAATGCTGAACATTTCTTGTCCATCTCTAATATTTTGATCAACTGCAACCACTTTCAAGGCCACAAAAGAGGTTTTAATTTGGATTACATAGCCTCTTTTCTGTCTTGAAGTTCGCAATGGAAAGAGGAAGATCTGCTCAGAGCAGGACACAGCTGCCCAATCTCAGATTCATATCAATCTGATCACAATGGTACATTGGTCATAAAATTTTCTACTGAAGTATCTGGGTCTGGGTTTCAATGCAGAACTGACTGTGCAGCTGAGGCCTCTGGGAAATGAGTGAGGAATGCATTTGTCCAGAATCCTAACTTACCCAAGTTGGGTGTGATGGGACGTGATTAGGAATCTGGAATGGAAGAGCATAAATGGTGATATTAACTGAAGCCCAGTGTGGAAACCCTAAAGCACATCTGAAAGTCTTTCTCTTCTCCTAGGTCTGTGTTTTTTGGACTTGGCTTTTCTGATAGAGAAGCCCAGAGGACTGATCAGCTCTTACAGGTCTAAAACCATGGCCCATGTAAGTTAATGTTTCTCTTCTCATTGAAATATATGGGTGTTTTTTAGGTCATGTAAGCATTTTCATTAATTTTCCTGAAGTTTCCTAAGAGAAAGTTTGCGCAAATAACCTGTTTCCTAAATAAATAAATAACCTGTTTCCTAACTATTGTTCCAGAGAAATATGAGGTCAGATTACCTAGCACTGTCTCTGTTTGGCCCATTCGAAACTAGCATTCATATCATTATTTCCCAGATTATTCAGTATATTTTAAGTGCCCATTTTTCAATTAAGGGCAGTGATGAAATAATGGGGCTTAAAGTTCTTTGAAGTAAAGATTTATGCTGTGCAGGTCAGATTTCTAGCTTGAAGATAGAGACAGTTTAGTTTAGTCGCTCACTCGAGTCCGACTCTTTGCAACCCCATGGACTGCAGCACGCCAGGCCGCCCTGTCCATCACCAACTCCTGGAGCCCGCTCAAACTCATGTCCATCGAGTTGGTGATGCCATCCAACCATCTCATCCTCTGTCGCCCCTTCTCCTGCCCTCAATCTTCCCCAGCATGAGTCTTTTCCAATGAGTCAGTTCTTTGCATCAGGTGGCCAAAGTATTGGAGTTTCAGCTTCAGCATCACTCCTTCCAATGAATAGTCAGGACTGATTTCCTTTAGGAGATAGAGATAGTGGTTCTATTTAATTATCCATGGTAAGACTTTGATGTTTTCCACAGATGTGAGATTTCCAGGTAGATGAGGTGGAATTTTTCATTGAATGACCTGAATCTTAATGTGGTATGAAATTCTTGCTTTCTGTGGAATAGGTTATGATTGGGGCTTTTAACATGGCAGTCATGGATTTGCTAGGAAAGCCATGAGACATAATTACTAAGGCTATTTTGTTGTTGAATGAGACATGTTACGTTTGTGTAACATCTGTATATTGACCAGCCTTCTTCAGTATCATTTACGTCAAATGAGTTATCTTTTACTGCATAATTAATTCCTCTGAAATTAATTAATTTAATTAATTACTCTGTATCTTAAAGCAGCAAACATTTATCTCACAGTTTCAGTCAGTCAGCTCTTGAGATGTGGCTTAGCTTGACTCTTCTGCTCTGGGTCTCTTATAGGGTTATCAATGTGTTGGTCAGGTTTGCAGTCATTTTAAAGCCCAACTTTGAGTGGATCTGCATCCAAGCTCACTGAAGTGGTTGTTGACTTGATGCAACAAGATGGCTGTTGGACTGAGGGCCTCACTTCCTCAGCAGCTGTTGCCTGGCAGCTGTTCTTGGTTTATTGTTATGTGGGCCTCTCCTTAGAGCAGCTCACAACATGGTAGCTGGCTTCCACAGAGTGGGCAAGTGAGACTGCAAGAGAATAAGCATGTGGAAATCATAGTTTTTTATAAGCTAATATTGAACATGACATTCCATCACTTTTCTATATTCTATTCTATCAGAAATAATTCTCTCAGTTCAGCTCACATTCAAAGGGAGAGGATTACATGAGGACAAAAATTCCAGGAAATGCAGATTATTGGTAATCAATAAAGTTACCTGCCACACTCAGAAAAAGGAAAACGTTCAGTGAGAAATGGTAGATGACAACAACAATGCATATCAATATATGTAGTTGGTGCAAACAGGACCTTAGAATTGTGGGAAACTTTCCAAGTGTTGTGTATCTAATTGTGTAAATGATTAAATCTGATTTACTTATAAAATACAATGTCATATACAAAAATAATACATGGATTTATTGAACAAAGCAAAAATGCTTATGGCAATATCTGACATAATGAAGTACTTAATGCTTATTTCAAATCCTGAAAGATGATGCAGCACCTGAAAGTGCTGCAGTCAATATGCCAGCAAATCTGGAAAACTCAGCAGTGGCCATAGGACTGGAAAAGGTCAATTTTCATTCCAATCCCAAAGAAGGACAATGCCAAAGAATGTTCAAACTACCGCAAAATTGCACTCGTTTCACATGCTAGCAAAGTAATGCTCAAAATCCTCCAAGCTAGGCTTCAACGATATGTGAACTGAGAGCTTCCAGATATACAAGCTGGATTTAGAAAATGCAGAGGAACCAAAGATCAAATTGCCATCTGTTGGATCATAGAAAAAGCTAGAGAATCTAGAAAAACATCTACATCTTCTTCATTTACTACACTAAAGATTTTGTATAGATCACAATAAACTGTGCAAAATTCTTAAAGAGATGGAAATACCAGACCACCTTACCTGCCTCCTGCAAAACCTGTATGCAGGTCAAGAAGCAACAGTTAGAACCAGACATGGAACAATGGACTGGTTCAAAATTGGGAAAGGAGTATGACAAGACTGTATATTGTCACCCTGCTTACTTAACTTATATGCAGAGTACATCATGCAAAATGCCAGGCTAGGTGAAGCACAAGATGGAATCAAGATTGCCAGGAGAAATACCAGTAATTTCAGATATGCAGATGACACCGCCCTTATGACAGAAAGTGAAGAAGAAATAAAGAGCCTCTTGATGAAGGGGAAAAGAGGAGAGTGAAAAAGCTGGCTTAAAACACAACATTCAAAAAAAAAAAGATTATGGCATACATTGCCATCACTTCATGGCAAATAGGTGGAGGACCAGTGCAAGCAGTGACAGACTTTATTTTCGTGGGCTGCAAAATCGCTGTAGACGGAGACAACCGTCATGAAATTAGAAGACATTTGCTCTTTGGAAGAAAAGCAATGACAATCCTACACAGCATATTAAAAAGCAGAGACATTACTTTGCTGACAAATGTCCATCTAATCAAAGCTATGGTTTTCCCAGTAGTCATGTGTGGATGTGAGAGCTGGACAGTAAAAAAGGCTGAGTGACAATGAATTGATAACCTTCAAACTGTGGTGCTGGTGAAGATCCTTGAGAGTCCCTTGGACTGCAAGGAGATCCAACAAGTCCATCCTAAAGGAAATTAGTTCTGAATATTGATTGGAAGGACTGATGCTGAAGCTGAAGCTCCAATATTTTGGCCACCTGATGCGAAGAGCTGACTCATTGGAAAAGACTCATGCTGGGAAAGATTGAAGGCAGAGGAGAAGGGGGTGACAGAGGATGAGATGGTTTGGATGGCATCGCCGACTCGATGGACATGAGTTTGAGCAAACTCCGGGAGATGGTGAAGGACAGAGAAGCCTGGCATGCTGCAGTCCATGCAGTCACAGTCAGACATGACCGGGCGACTGAACAACAATGCTTGAAGGAAGTCTTAATTTTATGCAACTCAGTTTTCTAAAATTTGAAGAAATATTCATTGAGAATTTTTGAGGTAGATACTATTTGAACATTATTCTTGTGTAGGCTTTTTAATTTAGGAGGGAAACATTATTATTCTGTCCATTTCCAAATGGTTCAGATATTTAGAAGTATCCAGAGTATGGAAGACATTCGCCCTGTGTCAGCAGGCTTCTTAAAAAATACATATACATTGTGCTTCGGTTTCCTTCCACATTCTAGATTGCCAGTCTACATGCTTTCATTTTCTCTTTTCCTGCAGAAAAGTCCATCAATTCCTCTGCTTCTACAGTTTCTTCAGTGACACATGTATTTATGGTTTCAGGGATCGTTGACATTCAGTGATGTGGCCATAGGATTCTCTCAGCAGGAGTGGGAATGCCTGGATCCTGTTCAGAAGACTTTGTACCGGGATGTGATGATGGAGAACTATGGTAACCTGGTCTCACTGGGTACGTTCATCAGCCTCAAATAATTTAGGTTAATTTAGAATCTGCTCTATAGGCTATGTATTTTTTCCACTGTGATTTACAGGGCTGCCTTTCAAGAAACTAACTAAATTTGTTTTTCCTCTTCCCCAAAAAGTTGCTAAGCTTTGTCAGGTTAGAAATGGCAGCACCATTAAATACCTTCATCTTCCCTATCCTTCAATCATACTTTTATCTCCATGTGTTCTCTTTTTGTATTTGCATCTCTTCCATAATGACCAAGCAACTAAATTAGAAATTTGTGGCATATATTGTACAACATGGTCAAAGGATCCAAATTTTTTGTTCATTTGTGTTCCAAACTGCTCTAATACTTCATTTTATGATTTGAAACAGTTTTAGGGATATTAGCTTATCACAGGGCCCTGAATTGCTCTCAGAGCCTCCACAGTTTGTATGATAATGGGTTGGATAATTGGAATTTATTTAAAATTGTACCAAAAGCAGTTCATTTCCTAAAACAAAAGTCTTCATCTGATTTGTGGCTGAAAGTTGTGATTGGTGAAAATTACATTCAAAATGGAATGAATATCTTATAGCTGTCTTTTCTTGTGTCCTCTAGTGATACTAGAGCATAAGAATAAAATTAATAGTTAACATTTTGATTACTGTGTAGTAATCGTTATTCTAGGTACATTATGTGGTTTAACTTATTAAAATAACTTGAGTATTAACTGATTTAATTCCCACAACAGTACTATTATCCCCATTTTATAAAGGAGAATACTGAAGTGCAGTGGGTTTAAATGAATTGTTCAAGGTTATGCCAAAGGCAGGAATTGATTCCAGGCTTCAGAGTATCTTTTTAACCACATTATGCTTGATCTCTAGAGTTAGAAGACATAATGAGTTTGAATTTTATTTTTTTTTTTTTGAGTTTGAATTTTAAACACAGCAAAACAAAAACTTTGCCTTACCAACTGATCTCTATTCTTTAATTCTCTCATTCTTCTCTAAAATAGTCAATATCATTATGATCTTTTATAATTGTAATTATAATTTTAATCTTGATTAGTTGCAATTTATTTCTCCATCCTGTGGCATTCTTTTTTCTTTAAAGCAGGCCATTCCATTTCTAAGCCAAATGTAATTACCTTACTGGAGCAAGGAAAAGAGCCCTGGCTAGTTGTGAGAGAAGAAACAAGAAGCTGGTGTGCAGGTAAGAGCCAGCAGGCAGAAGACATTTGTGTAAGTGACAGCCCAGGTGGCATGCACTTGGTAAACAGCCTTGAAACATTCATTGGGTGGTTTCCTTCTCAGTGATGTGTGCTAAGTTGCTGCAGTCATGTCCAACTCTTTGTGACCCCGTGAACTGTAGCTCACCAGGATCCTCTGTCCATGGCATTTCTGAGCCAAGATTACTGGAGTGGGTTACCATATCCTCCAGGGGATCTTCCTGACCCAGGGATCAAACCTGAGTCTCCTGCATTGCAGTTGGATTCTTTACCGACTGAGCTACCAGGGAAGCCCAGAAACTGCATGTTTAACAATCTTAGAAAGCTTACATTGCTCCATTCCACTTACTCCATATCCTTTTCTTTTTTTTTCCCATATCCTCTTCAACACTTGATCTTGTCAGTCACTTAAATTCTAGATACTACAGTTGGTATGTAGTAGTATCTTAGTGGTTTTACTTTGCATTTACATGATGACTAATGATCTGGAGTTTCTTTCATTTACTGATCATTCATATTTTTAGGAATATTTGTTCAAATCTTTACCCATTTGAAATCATTATTTTCTTACACTTGAGGGGTAACTGTTCTTTATTTTGGAACAGAAGGAAGTTGTTTTGGAACATTAAAAACATTTTCCCCACAATTTGTCTTACCTATTTTATTAATATCTTAGAAGGAGTTTAAAAATTTTTATATATTCCAATTTATCAATTTCCTCTTTTATGATTTTTTTTTTGTATACTATAAAAGAAATCTTTGCCTACCCCAAGGTGGCAAAGTTTTTTCCCTATTTTTTCTTGACCTTTTAAGTTTTGCTTTTACATTTAGTTCTGTATTCATTTTGAGTTAATTTTTTATTACAGTGTGAGTAGGGTTCAGGACTAATGGTTTTCCTATGGATACAGTTATTCTAGCACCATTTTTTAAAAAAGGAATTTCCTTTCCCATTTGGATTGCTTTGGCACCCCGTTGGGTTATATGTGTGTGTGTCTGTTTCTGGTCTCTATTGTGTTCTTCATGTTGGCATAGAAAGTGAGAATCTTGAGGTAGATTTTTTCATTTGTGACCTTTGTTGAATTGAGGTAGTTTTATTTTGTTCCTAGTTTGCTGCTTTCTTTTTTGTTGTTGTTTGTTTTTTCTATGGATGGGTGTTCAATTTTGTCAAATGCTTTATCTGAGTCTATTAAAAATTTTTTTCAAAACTTGGTATTTCTTGTGTCCCCTCGTAATCCTTCCTCCTCTGTCTCCTTTCAGCTTCCCTAGGTAAGCACTGATCTACTTTCTACTTTCTATCACAATTGAGTTGATTGCATTTTCTATAGTTTTATATAAACATGATAGTGTGAAGTTTTCATCTTCCTTTAGTCAGTGTAATTATGTTGAAGTTCATCATGTTGCTATTTGTATTTTACTGTTTATTGCTCAGTACTATACCAGTATTTGATTATACTGTAGTTTGTTTCTTCATTATTTGTTGATGGACATTTTTGGTTTTTAGCTATAACGAGTTAAGATGCTGTAGACATTTGTTTACAAGTTTTTGAATGGACGTATGCTTTCATTTCTTTAGGCTAAATACCGAGCAGTTGAATGCCTGGATTATATGGGATGTGTATGATTAAATGTGTAAGATTTAAAATTCAGATTTATCTATTTATTTTTGGCCATGCTGGGTCCTTGCTGAGGCTCAGGGGCTTTCTCTGGTTGCAGCAAGTGGGCTCTAGGGTGTGGGTTTCAGTAGTTGTGGCTCACAGGCTTAGTTGCCTGGTGGCGTGTGGAATCTTCCTGGGTCAGGGATTGTACCTGCGTCCTCTGCATTGGCAGGTGGATTCTTAACCACTGGATCACCAAGGAAGTCCAAGATTTTAAATTTAGATAAATAAGATTATATATTTAAATTTGTAAGAAACTTTTATAGAGTTTTTATACCATTTCACATCTCCACCAGCTCTAAGAGAAGGGTGGATCCTCCATATCTTATGAACAATTGGTATGATCAGTCTTTTTAATTTTGGCCTTTCAAATAAGTATATAGTGGCATTTTGTTGTGGCTTAAATCTGATTTTCTGTAATGGCTAATGATATTGAGTATCTTATTTACTGTTTCTTTGGTGCAGTATTTTTTAAAATCTTTTTTCTGTTTTCTTATTGAACTTGTAAGTTACTTTTCATATTCTACATAAAATATAATGTTTTTAATATTCTCTTTTTCATTGTGATTTTTCCTTTCATTCTTGTAGCAGTATGTTTTGGAGAACAGAAGTTTTTAACTTTCACAAAATTGAGTTTACCTATTTATTCTTTATGAATCATGACTTCTGGTGTATCTAAGAATTCTCCTTGCTGTCCAAGGGACTCTTAAGAGTCTTCATCAACACCACAGTTCAAAAGCATCAATTCTTTGGCACTCAGGCTTTCTTTATAGTCCAACTCTCACATCCATACATGACTACGGGAAAAACCATAGCTTTGACTAGACTGACCTTTGTTGGCAAAGTAATGTCTCTGCTTTTTAATATGCTGTCTAGGTTGACCATAACTTTTCTTCCAAGGAGCAAGCGTCCTTTAATTTCATGGATGCAGTCACTATCTGCAGTGATTTTGGAGCCCCCAAAAATAAAGTCTGTCACTGTTTCCACTGTTTCTGAATCTGTTTGTCATGAAGTGATGATCTTAGTTTTCTGAATGTTGAGTTTTAGGCCAACTTTTCACTCTCCTCTTTCACTTTCATTAAGAGGCTCTTTAGTTCTTCTTCACTTTCTGCCATAAGTGTGGTGTCATCTGCATATCTGAGGTTATTGTTATTTCTCCCGGCAGTCTTGATTCCAGTTTGTGCTTCATCCAGTCCAGCATTTCTCATGATGTACTCTGCATATAAGTTAAATAAGCAGGGTGACAATATACAGCCTTGACATACTTCTTTCCTGATTTGGAACCAGTCTGTTGTTCCATGTCCAATTCTAACTGTTGCTTCTAGACCTGCATACAGATTTCTCAGGAGGCAGGTCAGGTGGTCTGGTATTCCAGCCAGTCCATCCTAAAGGAAATTGGTCCTGAATATTCATTGGAAGGACTGATACTGAAGCTGAAACTCTGATACTTTGGCCACCTGATGTGAAGAACTGACTTGTTTGAAAAGACCCTGAAGCTGGGAAAGATTGAAGGTGGGAGGAGAACGGGACAACAGAGGATGAGATGGTTGGATGGCATCAGCGACTCAATGGACATGAGTTTGAGTAAACTCCGGGAGTTGGTGATGGATGAGGAGGACTGGCATGCTGCAGTCCATGGGATCACAGAGTTGGACACGACTGAGCGACTGAACTGAATTGAACTGAACTGAAGAATTCTTTGTCTAGCCCAAGGTCACACATTTTTTTCCTGTTTTCTTCTAGAAGTTGCACAGTTTTGTTTAATGTTCAGGTCTGTGATCCATTTTTTATTTCATTTTTATTTATGAAAGTCTGCATTCTTTTTTTCTTTTTCCTTTTTGGCATATGGGTATCCCAGTTGTTCCTACATCATTTCTTTATTCACTATTGCCTTTGAAATGATGAAAGTAAAATTTCACATATGTATTGATCTATTTCTGATAATCTGTTCCATTGGTTATGTGTCAATTTGATGTGTCTTGCTGATTACATATCTTCATAAGTCTTATAATTAAGTAGTGTTATTTAGTCCTTGTATTACAGTCTTTTCAAAGTTTATTGTAGATCCTTTGCATTTCCTTATAAATTTTAGGATCAGCTTGTCAGTTTCATCATAGACAACAAAAATGTCTGCTAGGACTTTTTAATGAAATTACATTAAATCTATAAATCAATTCAGCAATAATTATTGACATCTTAATAATACCAAGTTTTATATCCCATGAACATGATATATCTCTCCATTTATTTATTTATTCATATTTCTCAGCAGTGTTAGTGTACAGGTCTTACACATATTTTTTGAGATAGATCCCTCATGATATCCTGTTTTTGGTACTACTTTAAAGCTTTTAAAATTTGAATTCCTGAGTGTTCTCTCATATTTATTGTACATATTGATTGTATATGCTTCAGCCTTGCTAAACTGAGTTATTACCTTCTAGTAGCTGTTTTGTAGATTACATTTTTCTTTCTACATGTATGATTAAGTAATCTTGATGAATGACATTTTTGTTTCTTAGCTTTTTTCCTGCATGCCTTTATTTATTTTCTTGACTTACTACAGTGCCTGGAACTTCTAGTCCAATGTTGAATAGAAGTGCTGAGGCCATAACTTTTTATTGTTCCTGATCATATGTGGTAGGCATAATTCTTTCACCATTGGATATGATGTTAGCTGTGGGTTTTTGGCAGATGATCTTTATTAGGATAAGTTCTTTTTTCTTGTTTGCTGTAATTTTTTTTTAGATTTTCTTTAATGTGAACTATTTTTTGGAAGTCTTTATTGAATTTGTTACAATATTGTTTCTGTTATTTATGTTACGGTTTTTTGCCTGCAAAACATGTGGGATCTTAACTTCCCGCCCAGGGGTTCAACCCACACCTCCTGCATTGGAAGGCGAATTCTTAACCATTGGATCACCAAGAAAGTCCCTGCTGTGAGTTTTTAAGAGGGACAGATATGAATTTTATTAAATGCTTTAAAAAAAAAATTTTTTAGACATGATCCATATGGGTTTTCTAGTTAATTGATGGAATTTTCAAATATTAAACCAGTCTTGTATTCATGAGATTGATCATTGATACGGTCTGAATGTTTCTATACCCCAGTATGCACATATTGAAATCCTAACCCCCAAAGATAATGGCATTTGGAGGAAGAGCCCTTGGAATTTGCTTAGGGCATGAAGGTAGAGCCCTCATGAGTAGAATTAGTGTTCTTATTAAGAATTCCCACACAGATTCCTAACCCCTTACACTGTATGAGAATGTATTGAGAGGGTACTGGCTATGAACTAGGAAGAAGGCCTTTCCCAGAATATGATCATACTGGTCCCTTGATCTTGGACTTCTCAGCCTTTGGAACTGTGAGAAATAAATTTCTGTGTTTATGAGCTACCCAGGGTATTTTTTTGTTACAGTAGCCCAAATGGACTAAGACAGGCATAATGTATTATCTTTTTTATATTCTGTTAAGATAGTGTTTAGTATTTTGCATATATGTTTACAAAGACTTCCCAGATGGCTCAGTGATAATCCACCTGCTAAGCAGGACCTGCTAAGCAGGTTCAATCCCTGGGTCAGGAAGATTCCCTGGGGAAGGAAATGGCAACCCACTCCATTATTCTTGCTGGGTAATTCCATGGACAGAGGAGCCTGGCAGGCTACAGTCCATAGGGTCACAGAGTTGGACATGACTGATCAGCTAAGCTTGCACACAAATATGTTTACAAGATTTTATACTGTGTAATTTTCACTTCTTACAATGTTTTTCTCCTGTTTGGTATCAGAATAACCAGCTGCATAGAGTGATTCACTCCTCAGTTTTCTGAAAGAGTTTGTTTAGAGTTGGTAGTACTTCTTCACTAAGTGTTTGAAACAATCACCAGTGAAATCACTTGTGCTTGTAATTTTCTTTGTGGGGAGGTTTTCAAATTGTTTTGTAGGTATAGTGTTGCCACACTGATTTATATCCTCATGCACATGTCATTGTTGGTAAGGGTGAATGTTGTACTGATCCATACCCAAACAGGCTTCCCTGATAGCTCAGGTGGTAAACAATCCGCCTGCAATGCAGGAGACCCGGGTTCGATCCCTGGGTTGGGAAGATCCCCTGGAGAAGGAAAAGGCTACCCACTCCAGTATTCTGGCCTGGAGAATTCCATGGACTGTATAGTCCATGGGGTCTCAACAAGTTGGACACTACTGAGCGCCTTTCACTTTCACATACCCAGATACCAAATTAAGAAATCTCCTTTTCTGGCTATTTTTGTCCCAGTGTTCCCCCCTTGCTTTCTAGTTTGTCAGTGCTCCCTTTCATTGTTCTTATAGCCAGAAATATTGTGGAGTTTCTGTTGGAATTTTTGTAGCCCATGCTTACCCCACAATAACTCCGACCTGCCCTTGAAACACGGACATGAAAGTGACTTAAGCAAGGAACTCAGCTCAGTCTCAGCTGCTTTGTAAAGTCTAACTCCTTTCCAAAGCCCTCATGATTTATTTACAGCCTTAATGTAGTTAATTTTTATGTTTTGTCAAGTGTTAATTGGTGAAGTCAGTCAGAAAGGGGGCAGGCCATAGGAACTTCATGCTGCCATACTGGTACTAGAACTTCTTCGATTAGAGTTATTTAATGATGAGAAACAATTTTTATCTCTTGTATCCCTGCTGATTCATTGCTTTTTATTGCAAGGTTTTTACCTGTCACAATCATTTTTATGCCACTATTTTTTTTATTTTTTGACCAGGTTAAACTTTCTAAGCCTTTGAATTCTTCCTCTCTTTTTGGCATAAGAGCCTAAATTTTCCCTTTGTCCAGCTATGCTCTATCCATTTTTTTAGATCTAGATATTGATAAATTACAGTACAGGTGTTAAAATATGTTTATTACTTTTTTTTTTCTGGCAGCTTTTTTTCTGTTTCTTCTGTAGCATCTGATTGGTTTAGGCTTTCTCTTCTGAGGTCAGTTTTGATAAATTTTCCTAGAAAGTAATCCATACTTTCAAAAGTAGTCATGTAGTATAATTCATACAAATTATACCTTACAGTCTAAATAAATTCCTATTTCTTTTAATTCATCTGGTGGTTCTTGTTTTCCTCTTATTATTATTTGTTTTTAATTGTCTTTTTTAATTGATTTATGTAACACTTCTTATAATGATTTTTTAAAAACACCAGCTCTTTATTTGTTAATGCTACTGTTTTCTAACTCATTATGTTCTACTTTTATCTTTATTTTACTGCCTCCCTCTGCTTTGTTGTTTGTTTATTTTTTACATATTAGGCTTTGAGTCTCAAATCACTTTTTTGTAGAGATAATTATTTTAGGTTTTGAGTTCTCTGTCTGGTGATACAATGCCCAAGATTCAGATATGGGCTTGTTTTCTGTGTGGTTCACTTACTAGAATTCTTTTATTTTAGTTTTTCCTTCCTGTCATGATCTAGCCTTTTTGGAGAAAGCATTTTCATTTCCACATGAAAGCTCTTTTGGTTTCTAGTATTTATTAATTTCCATTGTTATCAATTTTGAAGCATGTTGTTAATATTCTTTCAATTTTTTATATACATACCATACCATACACTAGTTACAAGAAGATATTTTTTGCCCTCAACTCATAGCCTCCTCATTAAACACTGTGTATTTTGATCAAGATACTTCACAGAGACTTTATCATTCAGTCCCCAACTGCTAATTGTTTTTCATATAATTATTGGTGCTCTTCTAGATTCTTTTGTATAATTCAAGTTCCCTCTTTTGCCCAAAGTCCCTAAATGTTCAAAATACTACATGACTTGTAGGTATACCTGGTATATATCAGAGAACTGATTGACAAACTTTTCTGGGGATGACCAGAATGGTTGATGATGATGATGTGATGTTTAGTCGCTAAGTTGTGTCCAACTCTTGCGACCCCGTGGACAGTAGCCTGCCAGGCTCTTCTGTCCCTGGGATTTCCCAGGCAAGAATACTGGAATGGGTTGCTATTTCAGTCTCCAGAAGATCTTCCCAAACAAGGGATTGAATCCATGTCTCCTGCATTGGTAGGCAGATACTTTACCATCAGGGTAAAGCCTTGATCAGAATGGTTGGCCTTGGTTAAAAAGGAAAGCTAGAGAGGACCTGAGAAAAGCTGTGAAGGAATGAATGAGATTGAACATCTATAAGGATGATAAATAATAAAGTGTCAGGGGAGGAGTAACTAAGCAAAGACCCTCAGTATCTTAATTTATTATGAAGAATAAATAAAAGCACATGTGGCTATGCATAGAGGTAAAGAGTCATAGTGGTGGAAATGAATATTTTAGGGGAATTGTAATTGAAGACTGATCAGGTATAAATAATTGCCTTTTGAAATTTTATATATGTACATATTTATATTTTAGATAGAAATGGTATTTAGAGATGGCTGATACTGGCTCTCTAGGGACAGGATTTTGCATATCATCCTAAGTCTAGTTTCAGTTACATTACACTGATAGCTTGAAATTGCCTGTGATGGGACTGTTTACACCATAGACATTGGCAAACACTATAAATCAGGGCTGGATGTGTTCTGTGTGTGTCTTTGTAGAGCTGGTTGTTAAACATTTACCAGCACTGTACTGTATCAACTTACTTTTTCTGAGCCCTCCTTTTAAGTTTTCAAGTTTTATAACTGTATTTTAGAGTTCTTTAAACCATCTCTACTGGGTGAAATTTTCAGTTTTTCTCTTAATTCTATAAAATGTTTTGTGGTCAAAGGAACTTTTTTCTTATTTGTTTTAGATTTGGACTCAAGATATGAAATAACCAGCAATGGAAAAGCATACATTTATAAAAAACGTTCATCTCTTACTCTACACCACAGAATTGCTAATGGAGAGAAACCGTATGAATGTAAGGAATGTGGGAAGGCCTTTAGTCGTCATACAGACCTAAAAGTACATCAAGTAATTCATACTGGTGAGAAACCGTATGAATGTAAGGAATGTGGGAAGGCCTTTAGTCGTCCTACAGATTTAAAAGTACATCAAGTAATTCACACGGGTGAGAAACCGTATGAATGTAAGGAATGTGGGAAGGCTTTTAGTCGCCTTACAGACTTTAAAGTACATAAGAGAATTCATACTGGTGAGAAACCCTATGAATGTGAACAGTGTGGGAAGGCTTTTAGTCGTGCTTCCAACCTTGCTCAACATGCCAGAGTTCATACTGGTGAGAAATCCTATGAATGTAAGGAATGTGGGAAGGCCTTTAGTGATGTTGGAACACTTAAAATACATCAGAGAATTCATACTGGTGAGAAACCGTATGAATGTAAGGAATGTGGGAAGGCCTTTAGTCAAGCCTCAAACCTCATACAACATGACAGGATTCATACTGGTGAAAAACCCTATGAGTGTAAAGACTGTGGGAAGGCCTTTAGTCATGCTTCACATCTTGTTAGACATGAGAGAATTCATACTGGTAAGAAACCCTATGAATGTAAGGAGTGTGGGAAGGCTTTTAGGAGTAGCCATCAACTTACAATACACCGTAGATTTCATACTGGTGAGAAACCGTATGAATGTGAGGCATGTGGGAAGGCCTTTAGTGTGTATGGACGACTTACTCGACATCAGAGTATTCACAGTGGTGAGAGACCTTTCGAATGTAACAAATGTGGGAAGTGCTTTAGGCTCAGTTCAAGCCTTAAAGTACACCAGAGTATTCATACTGGTGAAAAACCCTTTGAATGCCACAAATGTGGGAAGTCCTTTAGGCTTAGTTCAATGCTTAAGGTACATCACAGAATTCACACTGGAGAGAGACTTTGTGGGATATATGTATAGTAGACAGTGGAATTATACAACTTGTAATGAAGAGAATGTGAGAAGGATTTTATATGGTTCCATTCTTATAAGGCATCAAATAATTTAGGAACTCCTTGGAATTCAAGCAACATTTGAAGTTTTTCAGTTATGACCCAAATACTGTTCACCTCCAGAGAATTTATATTGTACTTTATATTAACAAGTCTTTTATGGCATTCCCCTTTTGTTACTATTCACTGAGTGACCAAGCTCTTTGGCCAAGGTTGCAAAGCAGATAAGTGCCTCCAGTTCCCTGGTTGTGGAATTAAGATCCACCAAGCCATGTAGCATGGCCAAAAAAGGAAAAAAGAAAAATAAAAACCTCCCAACAAAGAAAAGTCCTATGCCTGGTGGCTTCACTGGTGAATTTAAACAAGAACTAATACCAGTCTTTCTCAAACTTTTCAAAAAAATGGAAGACGAGGGAATACTTCCTAACTGATACTGTGAGACCAGTGCAACCCTGTTAACAAAACTACTAAAAAACCACTAAAGAAAACTACAGAACAATGTCTCTTAATGATCATTTATCCAAAAATCCTCAACAAAGTACTGGCAAACAGAATTCTCCAGCATATTAAAAGGATTGTACAGAATCACCAAATGGATTTATTCCTAGAATGCAAGCATGGTTCATCATATGAAAGTTCACCAGTGTAATATGGCACATCAACAAAATGAAGGAAAAAAACATGATCATGTCAACCGATACAGAAAAAGCATTTGACAAAATTCAACACCCCTTATAATAAAAACACTCAACAAAATAGGTATAGAAGGAAATCATCTCCATTGTAACAACAGGTATATATGAAATTATCTCCACATAATAAAAGCTATATGAAAGACCAATAGGAAGCATAATACTTGATAAAAGACAAGATTTTTATCTAACGTCAAGAAACAAGACAAGCATGTCTGCTTGTACCACTTCTATTCAACACAGCACTGAAAAGTCTCAGCAGATCATTATGCAAGAAAAACAAAGGCATCCAAATTGGAGAGGAAAAAGTAAAATGATCTCTGTTATTAGGTGACATGATGTTATATGTAGAAAACCCTTAAAAGACTACAAAAGTAATCTGTTAGATTTGATAAATGAACTCAGCAAAGTTTCAGGATGCAAAGTCAACATGTAAAAATCAGTTGCATTTCTGTACATTAACAAAAAACAAAATTAAAAGGAAATTTCAAAAACAAGTCCATTTATAATAGCATCAAAAAGGATGAAATAGTGAAATTAACCAAGGAAGTAAAAGTACAATGAAAGCTACAAAATAAGAAATTATAGAAGATATAAATAAATGGAGAAACATCCCATGTTCATAGATTAGAAGACACTGTTATTAAAATGCCAGTGCTACCCAAAGCAATCTACAGATTCAAAGCAATCCCAATCAAAACCCCAATGATGCTTTTTGCAGAAATACAAAACCCCACCCTGAAATTCAAATGGAATCTCAAAAGGATCTCTAGTCGCCAAAACAATCTTGAAAAGAACAAATCTAGAAGACTCACATTTCCTGATTTCAAAACTTACTATGAAACTTTAGTAATCAAAACAGTGTGGTATATGCATAAAGACAGACATATCCACAAGTGGAATAGAATAGAGAGCCCAGAAGTAAACCCTTACATATATAGTCAAGTGATTTTGACAAGGCTACCAAGACCATTCAATGAGGAAAATACTTTTTTCAACAAATATAGCTGGGAAAACTGGATGTCTACACTGAAAAGAATGAAGCTGGACCCTTACCTAATGTCTTGTACAACAACTATCTCAAAATAGACTGAGGACCTAAACACAAGACTTAAAACAGAACTTTTAGAATAAAACAGGACAAAACTTTCATGACATTGGATTTGGCAATGGTTTCTTGGATATGACATCAAAGACACAGCAAAAGAATTGGACTTGGTGAAATTTTAAAAAATTGTATCAAAAGACAGTGTCCATTCAAACAATATCATTGAAACTAATGGAGTATCATTTTCAATAGGTTATTTTTGGAAATTACTTTTCTATAACTATGTATCTTCTTCATTAGATGAGAATGTGTAGATCACTGTCGCCTGAAGGAAGAAAGAAAAAACAGGCACTATCCACAGAGTGAAAGCCAGTCCACAGAATGGGGGAAAATATTTGCAAATTTGATAAGCAATTATATCCAGAATGTAGAGAAACTTCTAAAACTCAACATCGATTAAAAAAAAAAATGGGTAAAAAACTTAGACATTTCTCCAAAGAAGATATATGAATGGAGAATAAGCACATGGAAATACGCTTAACATCACTAATCATTAAGGAAATACAAATCAAAACTATCGTGAGGTGCCACCTGACATCTATTAAGATCACTACTACTGGGGAAAAAAAAGAAAAACAGAAAAAGAACAGTGTTGGAAAGGATATAGAGAAATTGGAACCTATCTGCACTACTGGTGGGAATGTAAAATGGTACAACCATTGTAGGAAGTGTATGTAGTTTCCTCAAAAGGTTAAAAAGAGAAGTATGTATGATCCAGCTGTAGGTATAATTGAAGTCAGGGTCTTTAAGAGCTAGTTATATACTGTTCATAGCAGCATTGTTCACATTAGCTCTAACATGGAGGAAATCCAAGAGTCCATAAGCTAAATGTGGTATATATATAATCCTCAGCCTTTTAAAGAAGGAAATTTAGTAATATGCCAAACAAAGATGAACTGTGAGGATATTTTGGTGAATGAAGTAAATTGTCACAAGAGGCAAATATTGAATGATTCTACTTACATGAAGTACTTGGTCAAAAATCATTGAACTTAAAAAAAAAAATCATTGAACTTGTAATGGTGGCTGTCAGTGCCTGGGGAGAGTGGGGAATTACTGATTATGATTGATATGTATAAAGTTTTAGTGTTAAAAAATGAAGAGTTATAGGGTTCAATGGTAGTTTTGACTATATACAATGTCACTGAAATGTATATTTAAAAATGGTTAAGATGGTAAATTTATGATATATGTATTTTTTTTTAATATAACAACAAAAATTCACAGACTGGATAGCCTTAATTTATCTTCTCATGGCTCTGGAGACAAGATGTCATCAAGTTTGGTTTCTTCTGAGGCCTCTCTCCTTTGCTTGTAGATGACTGCCTTCTCACTGTGACCTCATGTGACCTTTTGTCTGTGTGTGCGCATCTCTGTTGTCTCTCTGTATGTCCTAATCTTGTAGTAACATTAGTATTAATAAGAGTGGATTAGCGCCCACCCAAATAGCCCTATTTTAATTACTTCTTTTAAACCTTATCTCCAAATACAGTCACATTTTAAGGTCCTGGGGGTTAGGGTTTCAATAGATCAATTTTGGGGAGGCACATAACACTGGTTCATAACACTGGTCAAACTGATAAAACGAGGTCTCAGGCATACAAAAAACTTTTTAGGCAAGATATTCCAAGGGATATTCCAGTTATTCCCAGAAACTGCTCAAAATCAATCCCTTCTTAGAATGTGCAGGATTTGGGCAAACAAAGGCTGAGTTGTTAACCCTTTACTACAAGCTATGCAAGCACTAACTCAAAGCTAATTAAGAAAATAAAGATAATCAGAGATGAAGAGGGATAAAAAGGTGAACTCATCAGAAACATGCAGCAATCTAAAATTTTGTGTAAACCTAATAACATACCTTTAAAATATATGAAGTAAAAAATGACGACAAAAAGAAGAAATAGAAAAATTGGCAGTTATAGTGGAGGACTTTAATCCACCTCTCTTAATATATACATAGAGAATAAGTAGACAAAAGAGTCAATGAATATCTGAGTAACATGATGAATGAATTTCACATATATAGAATACTATACCCAATAATGACTGAATACACACCTATTTTCCCATGCATATGGAACAATATATAAAAGTTGATCATAATTTTTGGTTGAGCCATAAGTTTCAATGCATTTTTAAAAATTAGGATTGTTCAGATCATGTCCTCAGAGTAGAAGGGATCTTATATATTAAAGAGTTTTATCCAGAAAATTTTTTTCTTAATGTTGAAATATTGAAAACTTTCCCCTGAGACTTAAAGCAAGACAAGATATCCATGGTCACCACCACTACTCAATATTGTATTGGAGAGCTTGGCCATTGCAAAAGGCAAGTAGAAAAGACTTAAAGGTTGGAAAGGAAAAACTAAAACTGTCATTATGTGTACATAGGGTATCTAAAAGGATTTCAGGTAGCTTAGAGGGAATGTATGAAATTAATAAGGTTACTGGCTGTAATGTCAATGTTTTTAAATTGTTTATATGTACCAACAACAAATACTTTAAAATGTCGTTTTTAATTACAGTTGATAAAGTATTAAAGTCAAATACCTAGTAATAAATTAACAAAAGACATGCAAAACTTCTACACAGAAAATTATGAACTATATTGAGATGAAGTAATACCTAAAGAAATTAAAGAACATATACTTTGTAGATTGGGAAATTGTTGAAATAATTTCAGTTCTCTACAATCTGAGTTGTATATTTATTGCATAGTACTCCCCCCAAAATATCATCAGGCTCTGTGTGTGTATAATGGACAAGCTGATTCTAAAACATACTTCGAGTTGCAAAGGAGGAAGAATAAGTAAGACAAGTTTCAAGAACCAGGAGGAGGAAGAGGGGAGGAATAGGAGCAACAACAAAACTGGAGGACGTGTACTAGCAGGCATCAACTCTCACTGTCCACTGTGGCCTTGGAATTTCCCCTGAGGCTTTGGTCACGGATAGACAAATAGACCAGTGGAACTGAAGGGTACAGAAACAGGCTCACACATGTAAGACAGAGTTAACACTTTGTTGTAAGTTGGGAAAAGAATCTTTCTTGTAAGTATTGCTGGGTGAATTGAATATATGTATGGAGAAAAATTTTGACGCCTACATTACACTTTTCTCACCCTCATAAACATACCCCCTCATTCATATGACTTGAAGGACTAAATCTGAGATAAACAATAAAGCTGTGTGGGAAAAAATAGATTATGATACTGGGAGTAGGTAGTAAACTTTTTCTCAAGTAGTGATAAAGTTTTTTTTATATTGGTATATAGTTGATTTATTAATTTCTTAAATAGAATATAAAAAACAATGCCACTGAGGGAAAAATTGATAATTTGATCACATTGAACTTAAGAACTTGTATTTGTCAAAAGGCACTATAAATAATGTGCAAGAGGGTGGCACACCCACAGAATGGGGAAAGATATTTGCAGTGCATGTATCTGATGAAGGCTTCCTATCCAGAATAAAGAGTTCCAAATCAATATGAAAATGAGGAAAAGGTGTGAACTGCACTTGACAAAAGGTAGATCCAGGTGACCCCAAAACATGAAAAGGTGCTCACCCTCATGAGTTATTTTGCCTTATTTTAGTTTATCCAACTACTCATAGTTCCATAAATTTGAAGTTGCACCAAGATGTTTTATTGGGTTCTAATTGATTATTTTTGGCAAGAATACTTCTTGCCAAAGTATTACTAGGTGACAGTGTATACATTAGAAAGCATACAATGTTGGATTTTTCCAGTGTTAATGAATGCTAAATGTTGTCACTTGGTTATAGTGCTGCACACTAGATACCACCATTTTAGAGATCAATTTTACAGTTAATTTGTGTGATACTGTTTTATCACCTCCCCTTTGATGTT